AGCAGATGGATGCAAACAGATGGGAGGAGTATGAGAAAACAATGAGACAATATTAGCCTGTAGTACAGGCAGTGGTCTCAGCACATCAACGACTAATACATTGTCAAAGTGAGGTTTTTAGTTAGGGATTTTTTTTTTTCCTTTTTTGAGAAATGATCCCTGAAATGGGAGCAATGGGAGAATAGGTGTCAGGAATGGTAATTGTGATACTGGATGAAGAATGATTCAAAGAATGAATCAGAGGGTGAGGGTAGAGAGCAGGGACAGGACGTGTTTAAAAGCAGCTCCTGTTGGATGTGATTGAGCAACTATAAGAGAACAAAGAAAGGATATTAAGTTGTTCACATAGATACCCATATGACCAAACCTATTTTTGTGGGTAATATTATCCATAGATAGAAGGGAAAGAGGAAGTAAAAGACAGAGCTTCTTGGAAGGTCTCAGAAAAGTAGAAATTTCCCTAGGGTAGGAGGTAGAAGAATCAGTAGTGGACTTAAGTAATAGAAGCAAGGGGGATTTCTTTCTCTCTCTCTCTATTTATAAGCAAAAACATGACAAACTCTGTCAAAACTTTGACAATGGCATGCGGGTTTTGTTCCTTGTGTAGAAAGTGGTCATTAGAGAGAATTCCGAGAGGATGCTGCGCAGGAAGAGCAGGAGCAGAGGCAGCGGGGGTGGCTGCGGCAGCGCTCGGGGGCGTCCGGGAGGAGCGGGAAGACGCTGAAGCCGTCGTGGGTTGGGGAAACGTTGGGACAGGGAAATGTAGCTTGTTTTGTGAAGGGAGAGCCGGAAAAGAATAAGAAATTAAGCATTAAACTGTAATGTTTGTGGGTTTTATATGTGAAAGTGCCTATATTCCAAACAATACAGGCAGTGATTCAGTGCTGTTTCTTTTATACCATGTGGTAATCACAGGAAGTTATCTTTTGTGCTAAAACTCAGTCTATGTTAGAAGTAATTTCTCAGCATCCCACTGTTCATATTCGACTTATTCAAGTGCATATTTTTGCATAATCTGTATTCTTGTYTAGTCCTATCTATAAACTCTGCTGAAGTTGAAACCTCCCATGTCTGAAATAATAATACAATGTTAGTGTTCTTTCTGTTTTGTATGCTGAATGACTTTCAGTATTTAGGAAAAAGAAAACTGGAAAACTGGTGATTATATGGTTAAAGTTATAGAATTCAAACTTTAAACTTTTTAATAAAAGCTGAGCAGATGATCTGTGCTTTTTTTTTTTTTTTTTCTTTTTTTTTCTTTGGAACTGGCAGGTTTCAGGCCCTCTAATTGGCTTCCCAGCTTTGCAGAGTAATTACAGCTTCAAGCAAACTTTGTCATCTGTGGTTCAGAATGGTGTAAAGTAAACAGAACGTTTTGAAATACAGTTTGTAGTTAGAGTTGCTCAGGAGAATTTAACTAGCGTAACTATTTAATTTAGATGGGGACAGTTTTTTGAGAAAGGTAATCTGATATATTTTGAAGTGCGAGGATATTTTCTGGATAGGGCAACAAAAGTCAGCCTCTGGTATGTAGTTTACTTTGTGGTGGTTGTTTTAAAAAGAGAAGTTTGCTAATTGAGAAAAAAAAAATCCATTGTGTTTCTTTTTTGYTGGTTTTATTTCATTTTTCCATTTTTGATATAGATCCAAAAACAGCCTGACAAGTTTTACAGATTTTTTTGAACAATGTTGCCAGTCTCTGCTACAGATTTTGTATTTTGTTGTTTGGAACAAGAGTTTTTCTCAAAACGTTTTATTTTCTCTGTTATTAAAGGGGAAACTTCTCGTGACTGGTGTTTAATCCCAGAGAGACCAAAAGCCTTAGTATTAAAATGTGCAATTCCAATTTGTAGATGGCTAGCGTACAAGAACACAAAGTTGAGTCTGTCTATTTACTGGCTTACTCATCTTTCTGAATGATAATTTGGAGTTCCAACTGTTTGGAGTTGAGCTTCAGCCCTCTAATTACATATGCTTATGTGTAGTAGCAAACTTGAAGACATGATGGTGGAGCGTTCTCTCCTCWTGGTAATGGCCCAACTATTGCTGGAGTCTCCCGAGCCAGCCTTCACTAGGCTGTTTCACTCATTCCTCGGGGCTTTTGCAGTTTCCAAACTATGTTTTCTCTCTAAAACTACTATATTTTTTTTCCAGGAGTTAATACAAAAATATTTGGGTAATTAACAACTGTGTGTTAGAAAATGTACTCATCTTAGTAGAGTGGATTTTTTTTTTCCTAGCTGCAGGTGAAAGACATCCACAAATAAGTTTTTTATTCACATGGCAAACCTGATAGGAGTGTTGTTTATCCCATACGTTTGTATACAGCAGCACATGAAGTGTGTGGGTGCCCTAAATATCAGCAGACTTTGGTTACTTTTATCTGCTTGAAAAGGATGGGTTACACACTGCTTTTAGAAATACGTTGCTCCTCCACTTCTCTCTGGAACTGTTTTTCTTTGAGAAAGAAAAGATGCGARTCCGCTCAATTTTGATTTCATTCAAGGAAATTAAATATTTAGCCACCTTTTTAGAGAGAATATTAAAAAGAMTCCCACTCTTCTCCATCTCTTCAAATAAAAAGCTTTTGCAGTGAGCACACGTRTTCTCAAGCGAAGGAGGTTTCACAGAGAGCCACCTCATATCTGGGCTTCCACRTGGGTATTGAGAGCGTGGTATTGAGAGGGTATTGCTCATAACCAGCTGTGGCCTTACAGTGTGGAGACCGAGGCCATTGCTGTTAATCAGGTCCCAAATTATTTTGGYCCTCACAGAATCACAGAATGGTTGAGATCACCATTCTGTGATCATCAGAGATCACGTAGTCCAACCCCCCTGCTCCAGCAGGGACACCCAGAGCATGTGGCACAGGGCGGCATCCAGGCGGGTTTGAAGACCTCCAGAGAAGGAGACTCCACAGCCTCCCTGGGCAGCCTGTGCAGGGCTCTGTGACTCTCACTGTTAAGAAGTTCTTCCTCACATGGAGATGGACTCAAGGTGTACGAATCAACATCTTGAACTGCACCACTGAGCTCTATATAAGCTAGTAGTATCAAGAAAAAGGATTGTTCCAGTGTATTTTCAGTATGCAGCTGCACTGCAGAAGGTCAGCTCTGGTATGCGGCTTGTAAAATCAGCACCAGCRACAAAGGCATGAGAGAATGGAAAAGCGGATTAGAGAGTATCCAAGTATGTCAGATAGGCAGAAATTTGCTGAGTCTGGCACAAGWTCTTGGAGAGTGTTTAAAAAGCATTCCTGGGAAACGGTAGATGATAGCTGGAGTTTCAAGACTGGAAAGGGAGAGTTAGTGGTTTCTGGTTGTGTGTCTGTGTGTGTGTATTGGGGTGGGAGGAGGTAAGAGTTGAGAAACTGTAGACCAGTCAGCTTAGTCTCAGTGTGTGGAAGAAGAATTGATAAGTCATCGCCAATAATGAGATGAGTGACGTACATGAAATTTGTGCAGAAAAAAAATCATGTCAAACYCATGTAATCTAATTCTGTCGAAGAATAAGGTGGCCTGAGACATGGCACAGGCCATATAACATGACTTTTGTAAGGCATTGATGTTAATTTGAGTAAACAAAATGTAATGCAGTAAAAGCAAGTAAAAGGTTTTATGCCAAAGGATGGTGAAGTACAGAGGCAAAAGAGTTGGGCCAGCTGGGATAGGGCAGTTTGCAAAGAGGTTAAGTTGTAGGTGAACAGAACTGTGTTACCATGTTCAGCACCAACTGATCTGTGTTTGATGGATGATTTCAGAGCGCACATTTGATCAGGTTTGAACAGGTGATAGCATTCCCGTTGAATTACCTGAACATGACGTGTCGTGACTAGTTTTATCCCCAGCCTGGTGCTGGAGAACAAATGAAACTGTTGATACAGAGCACTCTATACTATTTGCATGAGTAAAGAGCTCTAGCAGGTCAGAGTTTTGCATCATGTAGGTGTAATTTTTTTAGTACTGTGTGCTACCTGTTAAAATCAAAGATATGGTCTCATTGAACCATTGTCTGAATGAATACATTTGTACCCTTGTGGAGAAGTAATGAGCAACATAATAGGAAGTAGGGTATGTCCAAAACGGTGTAACAGGAAAAATGCTAGGTCTAAAGTCATGACCTGCGGGGACAGATTGGGTGAGTTGATTTAGGCTAGAAAAGACTGAAGAGAGGGCAAAGTTTTTAGTTTAGACAAAGCTTTTTGTCCAAAAGGGATGGGGTAGCTGCTAAAGAGGAGGAAATAAACTGGTCAAGAGGACAAAAAGCAGTATGTTTAAGTTATAGGAATGGTTGCTCTATGTGCTAGGAAAAACCTAACTGTAGGTAATATCCATATAGTTGGATGAAGCTTTTCTTRGGAGATTTCAAAATTGATACTTTTGTGGAGTATTAGAAAAATTTGAGAAAAACATCTGTGAGAGATAGCATAGGTAGAGCTAATCCTKCCATGGGGCATGGAGGAGAACCAAATGACTTCTGGGGTCATCCCCATTTCGGTGGGGGTTAATTCAGTGTTTCATAATTGGATTGCATCATGACATTAACTAGCTTCAGCAGCTGAATTTTCACAGATAGGCTGTTTTACAATAAATCTAATCTTGAGATGACAGTAGCATGGCTAATTGCAGCACGATTACCATTGGAGGGAAAATGTCRTATTCCTCTTGCCAGGTGCAGATGGGAAAATGTGCCTTTGGCTACTGGTGCTACCTTGGCACCGTAGAGCCATCCAGGATCTAATATTCTTCTTAACCTCCTAATACAGACCTAGTCTGCAAATAGAGGCAATGTGCTTCTTATATGGGGTCAACCAACTCCTCTGACCTTTTTTATCCACGTCCAAGATTGGATTGGCATACTTTATTTCTATATGATTGCTTGATAGGTGTACAATAAGCTTTATATATTTTAACCAAGCCATTTTATTTGCTCTTCACCCATTTACTTGCAATATATACTAAAGGAAGTACCTTTGTTGTTGTTGTTGTTGTTTCCTATAGAATGTCAACTAATGAAAACAGAGCGACCAAAGCCAAACACGTTCATAATCAGATGTCTTCAGTGGACCACTGTCATAGAGAGGACGTTCCATGTGGACACTCCAGAGGAACGGTGAGAGCTTGCTTCCCCTGTGCTCCCTGGAGAAGCTTCAGCACCATGGCTGGCATTGTGCAGCCACCAGCGTTTGGAAATGTCACATTCTGAGCACTTCTGAGCAGTTACTTATTATACGTCTGCTTCTGTAAAATATTATCCCCCTTCATTTCTAGTGTAAGAACTGCCTACAAGTAGGAGGGATGAATGTGTTTAAACAAGCCAAAACTATGTCACGGTATGTCACTGAAGTGTTGAATTTTGAACAATAGGAGCTTAGTGAAGTGTTTTYAAGTCTCACTGTTTCAGATTTTCCTTTTGCTCCTCCTAACGTGCTTCTTTTTGGCACAGAAGCATGTTTGTTTTTATTTATATGTTATATTATATTTGCTATTTATTTTATGTTTAGTTACTAGCATTTCTCGTTTCAGCAAATACTCACAGAGTCTTAATGAATTCACTTTTTTAATGTGCCAAGAGCATATAGGAGACACGAGATGGTTTGCCTTGGCATCCTGCTACCTTGGGCGTCTGACCTGTGGAGATTTAACACTATCGTTGACTTGMTTTCATTGCATATTTCATTAACTGTCTGTGACTTTCCTCTTTGTATCATCTATCTTTCATTAGGATATTTACTTGCTTTTTATCCYCTCCTTTAATTCTGCCTGGATGTTGTTTCTCCACAATATCTTTCTTTTCTGCACACAGTGTCATACATCTTASCTTTGTGTATTCCATAATACCACTGGGTTCCTCCTGCATCCMCTGCTTGCTAGGCAAAAATCAGCCCATCCTGCAGTGCATCTGGAGCTASCGTGTGCTCAGTTTCCAGCTAGGTGTATGTGCTGGGTCACCAGCACGTACAGTAGCCATGGACTCAGCTTCCCCTGCTGTTCCCTCAGTTGAAATCCTTCTTTGAGCCTGTCCCATTCACATAACCACAGATTTTTACAGCATTTGTAGGAATTTAATTATCTTTCAGGTCTTAGTTTTGATGGAAAATTTGGAGTCAACCAGCAAATTCAGTTTTAAGAGGAGGCAAAGAAAGAGCCAAATACACAGTGTGGTTGCATAAATCTCTTTTTTTTTCTGCACAATGTCTCATGGTGAGCGGAGACACACAAAAACTCTCATAAAATAGCATATTATTATCAGAATGGAAATTACATAATATGCTCTGAGCTGTTTTACACTCCTAGCAAGAGTTTTCAAGTTTTYACTATTACAGTATTTACAAAATCAAACCCTGTTCATTCTTGTAGTAAACTGTGCAAGGATTTTGATGCTGATTTAAAACAAATTCACCTTTGATACAAAGCAGAACTTAGAAGGAAATCAAAGCAATTAATTAATATGAGTCTTCTCTAGAGGAGCATGAGAACTTCATGTTGAAACAATATAATGTTTGAGAAACATCAGAAAAATTATTTGGATGTAATTTGTGAGTTTCTAATAGGAATGTTGGCTTGTTCATGGTAGGGAAGAATGGACAGAAGCGATCCAGGCTGTAGCAGACAGACTTCAGAGGCAAGAAGAGGAGAGGATGAACTGTAGTCCAACTTCACAAATAGACAATATAGGAGAAGAGGAGATGGATGCTTCAACAACCCATCATAAAAGAAAGGTAAATAACTTGACTAGAATGGTGTGGATGGCTAGAACAGTATGCAAAGAAAGTGTTTCTGCATAAATGTCAGTGTATTACAAAAATAAAAGTAGATTTTTATTTCAGTAAAGCTGAATCACTTTATTTTTTATTTATCATGCTGTCTGTTAAAGCACTTGTCAAATACAAAGTTCAAACCATCAGGCACGTTAACTATGTTAACACTAATTGTATGGAATTCATGATATTATTTTCATCTTTTTCTCTTGTTTGTTTACTCTTTGCAAACTATGGTAAAAATATATTTTAGGCAAGGTGATTTTCCCCCTTTCTCATGTAAATAATCTCCAGTGCAAATTAGGTGATTTGCATGAAAAAGGCAACTAGGATTTGGCTTATAATGACCTTGTTTGTTGCTATCTGGGAAAATATCTGCTTTAGTCTTCTGTGAARTAAGAGAAACTAGTTTCTTTTTCTGGTCACAGTTTTACTGTAAGCAGGAATATGTATACTGTTGGCTATAGCATACTTACAGTCTTGTCCCGAAGTCAACAAGATAAACGCACAACATAGACTACTCTGTAAAAGAATCAATGCCCCCCAAATTTGCTATTGTTTTGTTTTTCTTTTTTTTTGTTGTTGTTTTTTTGAGTTTACTTGTGTAAGTACAGACTGCTCTTGGTCAAAAATGAGGAATTCAAATGGATATACCTCACTKACTATACAAGACTGACAAGACTTAAGAAAGCCCTGAAATCACATAAGAAAAATTACCCTGGTTTTATGGGACTGGTGTCATTCAGCTAGCTAGAAACTGAAACCTGTAGAAGTTTACAGAGTAAAATAGTCTTACAGCTAATGTAGTTGAATGCCCTTGAATGCCAAACAATGAAAAGAATAGTGAACATCTGCCTTTATTCATAGTGCATGTCTTCTTTTGTTTTACTTTTTTCACTATGTAAAGCAAGAATCATAGAAAAATCAGAAGCTGAAAACTGTCCTTATGAATATAATGCAGATTTCATAGGAGATTTTAATTCTCTCATGTCCTAACTTTTGAGGACTTGTTTGCAATTCTAACATAGTTCTTTCACACAGTTTCATTGCATGTAATTGTCCAGCATTTTTCCTAAAGAAAAAGTAAAAACTAATTATACACAGCTGTGACAATCCCTCATACACTGCCAGGTTGGAGCAGTTAACACTGAACTTTTAGCCTTGCAGCGGAGATGTTTAGTGATTGTGCTTCAGGGTAAAATATGGTAAGTGACAGCGAGACAGGGGCTGCGTGCAAGATGTGTCCGCCTTTCTGGGAGGCGGGCTGATTGTGTGGAAGGGGTTTGGGTGAGCTCTGTTGAAGATCTGAGCACTCTTCCAAGCGTGTGTATCCTCTCAGTGCAGTACAAAACCACTGCCTAAAAGAAAGCGTTTCCAGGATTTCAAAATTAACAATTTTCAGAATTTATAATAAAAGAGTTTATCCAAAATGTAGGYCCTTCCTGTTCTTGTTCTGCAGTGCGTTTTCCCCTGCAACAAAAGGTGGTGTGGSAATAGGAGGAGGAGGAAGATGAATATTGTTTCTGTCTTACTTCAGTGTTTCCTAAAGAGTAAGATGCTGGAACAGTGCGTGTGCAGTGCTCCAGAACGCTGAAGGACTTCGGCAAAATCAACAAATGTGGAGTGAGAAATGATGATATTCAACACCTAATAATACATCCAAATGAAGTTTCTGTAGCCYGTACAAGCACACTGGGCCACACTAGCACGGTTCTGCAAAAACTCATAATTCCACTGCAAATTTCTGCAGTTTTGCAAAACTTCAGAAAAAAAAGATTCTGAGAAGATAACCATATCTTCTCAGTTGTGTCTTCCGGTTAAAGAACCATTCTCAGAAGTCTGATTTTTATGAATATTTTTATAGTTGATAATCAGAACCATTTCAGTTATAATTATTCAATGTGTTTTTCTCTCCTTTTTCTTCTATATGGGCTTTATTTTAATTTCAGGAATTTTTTGCACATTGTTTCCTACGTGTTTGTTTTGTCACCTGATCTTGCATCTAAGCCCAGTGAATTTTACTTGTGCATGCACCAGATGGTATGTATATGAGTAGAAGAGCATAATCAGATTAACAAACAAGACAGAGAAGTGGGGCTGTTCTTCCCTAAAAAAATGGTAAAAGGTTTATAAAGAAAACRGTCTTAGAATATGGAACTTAATTTGAGTAGACATGACAGCAACATCCGTAGTTAAATTAATTAAGAAAAACAGAAGGTTTTTTTTTTTTTTGCACAGACTTTTTTTTTGAAAAATGCTATCAGTGTAGAATTTAAGATTTAGAGTAATAACTTCACTTAAATTTTGAGGAATGGAGATTGTTAGTGAACTATTTTTATTGTTGTTCATTATCAGTAGACTTTCTTCTTGTTGAAATCAGTTGCAAACTTCCAGGGGTGTAATCATGATGCATATGGAGAATTCTTTTATATGAATTCTTAAGTGCCTGTTGTAGGGTATATTCTTTCAAACAAAACACCCCTAGCTGGAGTAACTAGGTTTTACAGAAGGCTGAACATAGTATGGTTGTTCTGTTAATGCAGTTTCTTTCTGTTAATGTAGCATTTTGTAGGCTCACTGCTTTTTCTTCCTTTACAGATTTATTTTTCAGTTTGTACAATGAATAAAGAATAGATTTTCAAGGGAAAACAAAGCAATGAGGAGAGATCCTGATTCCTCAGAGTTCTGTAGGAATAAAGTAGGTGGAAGAATGATCACAGGGGAAAAGAATTCAAACTTAGGGAAGCCAAAGTTTGCTCACTCAAACTTACTCACCTACATCTTACAGATTTAGGAAATATTTCATTTTTTTCCACCAGTTTTCAGTACAACTTTAGCTGTGGCGTATGTTTTTATCTTCCAAGGTCTTCTGTTCTTTGGCAGGCATATTGAGTAACCCTGCACTGTCTCATCTGTAAGCCTTCTGCTAAGCTGCTAAAGAACGAGAGCATCAGGACACTTTATTCTTAGAACTAGCACTGCTACCCATAAGCTGCTGTTAAGCCGCTGTTCAAAATCTTGCAAAACTTTTACTTTCCTTTTTTAATGTCTTTTTAAAAAGCATGTCTTCACCTAGCTTGCAGCTATATTCCTGACTGCTTTGGGGGATATTACGTAAGCAGACTTGGGACAAACGTGTCTTTCACTGGGTCAGACTTGCTGCCCTTAGCATCACACCCAGGACTGTGGCTGGATGAGCCGCTATCCTCCTGCTCTGCATGGGCAGCGGATTGCTCTTTGTTCAGGCTCTCGTTGTCTCTCTGGAAATCCAGTCTGCCAAGGAAGAGTCAAGGAAGACTGTGTGGGAAAGATCTGCTCCTCTTAGACTGCTTATGGACACACAAATTTCTAACTTTTAGAAGTGATAAAATGTTAGGGSAACAAACTCAATGTTCTTTAGGAACAAAGTTGTTAGCTAGTCTCTGCAGGGTGTGAGATAGCTTTGCCAGTGAAAGATATGGAAATTTCTGCCCAATTCTTCATCATCTGTCTGAATTGTGTTTTAGATGTGTTTTGGATTTTTCGTGGGCTTTTGTCAGTTTTCTGTGCTTTGGCACAAAGAATAGCAAGAAATTTCTTGGTGTGTTTTTGCTTGGTTATCACAGAACTGTTAAGCTGATGACCTCACTTACCAGTGTGCACTGTGACGCTAGAGAAGCCTTACCTTCGGCGAGGATCTATCACTAGATGCATAATGGAATTTATCATGTGTTTTGGTCGCAACTTTGCGTAGTATGTTATGCCAGGAAAAAAAATCTAAGGATATATTTAAAAGAGTAAATTTTAGGATAACTTGAAAGACCATTTGTGACCTTAGATGTATTTCAGACTTGACAGAAGTTATTTCTTTGTGCAGCTTTTGGAGGTTATGAGCAATCAATGGTAGATTTCCAGTATAAGAAAGACTGTGATTGCATGGATGGGTCATAAGAAAGAAAATTGGGGTTTTTTTTTGTTTGTTTGTTTGTTTTGAATCAGTGTTTGTGTATCTCTGAGCATGTATAATAGACTTGTTACATGTGTTTTGCATGTGATTGCACAGATGTAGTGATTACATGTAGTCAGAAGTAAATTTTTGCTGTTTATTCTCTCTCACAAGAGTGAATATATTTTGTTGTGCTGTTTGTTTATGTGCCTGGAGATGTGTCCAGTAGCTCTGCACTACTGGGTTGTGTGAGATAGCTGCTATTAGAAGTGTTTCTGCTAGGGATGAGGAAAATATTTATTCCATTGAGGAAGTTACAAATAAAAGTGTGTGTGGAAGGGCAGTATTTAAATCCACTGTCTCAGACTGCAGCTAGTGCGGGCTAGGAAGATGAGAAAAAAAGCAAATTCTCATTCCTTCACACAACAGCATTAAAGGTGTGTAAGATAAGAAACTGCCACCCAGAGGATGTATAATTACTGTTTATAAATGTTTTGAGGTGTATTACTCCCTGCTAAAGAAGAGGAGAGTGACTTACACTGTGGGTCAATATTGTGCTAGAAATCAGAGAGCATACAGAGAGACTGCCAGAGAAAGGCCCAGAGCCCAGAATGGGCTCCCACTTCACAGAAYAGAGGAGAAAAATGATCCGGAAGAATGAGGACCGTGCTACTTTTAAAGCATGCTTACTGAACTTAGGATATGTGATACAATCATGTGTGGTGGCAACAACTGGGACTCAGTGATCATTAGAGGTTTTATCAAATTGTAATCTCAGCTTTGGTTTCCGTCACTGGAAGCCCTGGAAATTAGAGATTGACTATTCAAGATACATGTTTTGTACATTCACTTCCCAAATTATATGTCCGTGCAATTGTGCTTTTAATTACTCCTTTCTAAGAGACAAGGCTTTCTTCTGAAAATCAYCTGAAATTGTCTTGCGCAACTCCTGGGATGCTGAGCAGAAAAAGAATTTCTTTTGCTTGGAGGAGGACATGATTATTTGATCAGCAGTAAGGCTTCGGGAATGCAGTAAAGATGCAAGTCTGGAGCGTGCGTTTATCTGGCTCTCAACCAAGTGTACCTTCTCTCCAGTGAAGTTATTTTAGGGGAATTTGGAGGCACATCCTCTTTTCATTTTGCTGCCTGGTGTGCATGTGAATTACTGTTTGAAAAATGTTGAGCTGTTAAAAATTGTCCAATTGTATTCATATCGAATACGTAATATTTTTAATATCCTTAACAATATTTTTTTCATGTTTTTTTCCTAGAGGATAATACAGATGCATGTAATGTACACAAAATGTAAATAAACAAAGCTTAATAAGAAAACACGTTGGAACTAGAATAACTGTTCCGATCACTTTTCTGTTCAAGCAATGTAAGAATGAGAAATTCCTGCTCCTCTGAGAGGAACACCACAGCTAGGGGATGGTGTCATCTTTTAGAGCTTATAAATGCTTTTCTCTATGTAAAGCCACCCAGGATATCCTGAAATACAGATTTTTTTTTTATTTTTAGTTTTTATTCAAGTCTTTCAGTATCAAAAGAGACAGTTTTTGAAGTGGAGTATTCTGTGTCGGATTTAAGCCAGTCTCTGTTCAGTTGTTACTCGCCTTTCCGTCAGTGTTTTTGTACCTTCTATCTGACGATAGACGGAGGCAGCGCAGAGAGATGGGGGTTTGGGGCGCGAGGGCTCCCGCTGCTGCAGGGTCCCTGCGTGGCACCCGCGGAGGTCGCGGCAGCCGGTGCCTGAGCAGCAGCAGCACACGGAAAGAGGCGCCGCGCACACGCCGTGGAACCGAGCTGGTGGCCCTGAGCTGGCAAAATAGACCCTGCTGTCCATCCAGGGTGACCTCTGAAGAGCTGCTCCCTTCCTACGGCTTTTTGTTTYATGGCTGTGCTGTGCTAGAATTTTCTACACCCATCTCTGCATCGAATGCATAGGCTGTAGGGTTTGATACTCCTGAGCTGGCTGTGAAATAAATTTGCAGAGTTAAGCTGATTATTGACTGGAAGCTTTATCCTTATGGAAAGGACTAAACTGCCTTTGGATCTGAAACAGTCTGGTCATATCCCCTCTGTGTGCAGCACTTTGCTTGAGCTCAGCAACCTACTCGGCCCCTTGTCTCATGTCTGATACCAGCCCTTGGATGCCAGTGTCAGTGGTGTTCGATAGAGTAGATACCTGAAGGGTCTCTATAATTGAGTTAAATGAAGGACTAAAATGTGCCCCTTTCTCCTTTTATCTAGCCAGATTCATCAATGTAAAAAACATGCAACTAATTTGTACTCAAAAATCTTTAAAAGTCATCTTCTAATGCAAAATACACAGACTACTGTAGAATCTTACTTGTATTCTGGTGAGGATCATATATGATTCAAAAAAGCCATCAGTGCAGTGGTTGGTATTAAAAATGTAGTGGATTAATAGGTTTTCTTAATAGCACAGGAGTTGACATGCTGTCTTACAAATGGAGAGGTTGTGAAATACTGTTATAGGCTAGAAATTTCTTCTGTATGTGCTTTCTAAAAATAAGCCTGTCAGCATACTGTACAGTAATTCAACAAACTGTAATAACAGTATTGAACAATATATCCTTGTGGTTCATAGATACAATTCACTATTATGGACTTAATACCTGTGTAAGCTATTAAATACCATAGAGAGCAGCTACCTAAGAGCAACGTAGGCAAGTATACATATTTGTGTAAACCGTTCTTACCTTTATATTAATAATAGTGTTGGTTGTATGTGAACAAATTTGTGTGCATACTGGAAGTGTATCACATAAGTCTGGCTTATTATTTTTTTTTTTCTTTCTTTTTTTTCCCATATAGACGATGAATGATTTTGACTATTTAAAGCTACTGGGCAAAGGCACGTTTGGTAAAGTTATTCTGGTCCGAGAGAAGGCTAGTGGGAAATACTACGCTATGAAGATTTTGAAAAAAGAAGTCATTATTGCAAAGGTAAGGGAGGTTATAGTTATAATGTTGTGTCAGGTATTTCAGTGACATAATAACTAATACATGAGGAGGGCTTGTTTTTTGGTGGTAACTGAATTTCTGTAGAAATGTGTGTGCATCTTCAGAAAATGAGTAAAAAGCCATGTTTGTATGTACTCATTTTGTACTCAGTGTACATATATGTACTTCCAATGGCTAAAGATCTGAAATGTGCTTAAATCACTGAGAGTTTGTTGTGAGAGTAGATAATGCAATCCAAGTCTGAAAGGTGAAAATGAGTATATTACATACTTTTTCTTTTTTTCATTCTAAAYAAACTGCAGATCTATTCAGATAAATAAAACTAGTTTTTTACTGATGTTCTATTCTTGCTATATTAGATTAAGTAGCTATAGGAAGAGCATTTTCATTTTTTCCAGTTTGCAAGGAACAAGAGAAGTCTGAAAGTGATATCTGAAGAGATGGTATTAAAATGACATGTACATTCATGTAAAATTTGTTAGGTTAGCATTATTAACTGTTATGCATCATCACAATTTTATGTAATTTAAACTTGATAACTTATGCGGAGCTTTGTTCCTGAAGTTCTCAACTTCCAAATCCTGTTTGCACAGAAGTAATTGAAAGCAAAATGTCTACATTCTCTGTCATCRTGATGCATTTAAAATTATGAGATTCAATAAAGAGATTTTTCAGTTGAGACTAGCAATGCCAGTATTTCTGAAAACTAAATGTGAATAACAACTGTGGTGCATTATATATCTATTCTATTTTAAACTACCCTTCATGATTTTCAAACAAAGGACTTCTGCAGCCTATATGTTTACGTCTGTCCTTGACCCAATAACTATAAATAACAAGTCTGAAGAACCATGTTAACAATCATGTCACAGTTAGATTGGATCTGCAGCACCAGCTTGGCTTATGCTGTGATGTAATACTCACTAGAGAGAGTCCTGTCTGTAATAGAAGTGCAKCATGAGGTGGGAAGTTGATGTAAAGCATCTGCCCAGTTCAGACTAAATCTACTGATCCTAAATTTTCATGACAGACTAAAATTTCCATGGTCAGGAAAGTGCTACCAATATTGTAAACTTTAGGACAGTGCCAGAAAAACCAGCCATTGCCAGCTTTTGTGCCCTGCCTTGGTGAAGCACTGGGATTATAAACCTTTTCTCTGTGAAAATGGTTAGATTTTAATGACACTCCTAGTAAATAATAATAATGCATCTAAATTCACATTGTGAATTTGTGTTGCTTTTTCTACTTAATTCTGATCTAAACTTCACRATTCATATGGATGAATAATAAGACCCCTGTTTTGCTGGTGAAAATAATAGCAGTTTGTGTAGGCTCAGGATTTACTCAAACGATAGCTGCTAATGAGTGAGATTTCCAGAAACAGTCAATAATATCTCATTCTGTCTCAGTTATAAAGAATACAGTCTGTAGCAGAAGAATRTTTTGTTTTTGAAAACTAAGGCCCTAAAGTAAAGCTAATGTAAAAGATTAATTAATCCTAAATGTGTGCCTTAATGGTAAGGAAAGTTGTATTGTGTTTTGGAAGTAGAAGTGAAAAATAATTACAGTAACAATTACAATTTTTAAAAARTGTAAAAAGTCTCCTTTTTTAAAAAAGTTTAAAAGCTTTTGGAGTTCATATTTCCAAGTATTGAGCTAACACCCATGTAACATACATTTTCYATTTATTTAATTATTCATCTTAATTTTGGGCATTATAAAATATTGTGAGTTTACARATATTGCACCAATCTCCTCCCTTTTTTTTTGACCTGAAGCCTGAATCTTAGAATAGACTTTTTCTACATCACCAATTGAAGATGTTTTCCAGACTAAATTAAATCCCTGAAGAGCAGTATAAAAATAGATGTCAAGTCTGTTAACGCTGTTTCCATGAAGCCACTGTGTGTTACAGACTGTTATAAACTCATTGAAATCAAGGCTGAAGTACTTTGTTTTGTCTTATTTTATGAATGTTAAACTTAGTGCATTTTTAATATCTCCCTAAGTAGCAAGGTACATTTTGTAATTTATGGTGGCTCTTTTTGTTGAAGCCTGATGGCCTCAGGGTTTTTTGTTGAGTGAAGACTTAGTAGCTCCCGTTTTCAGAGTGAAAAAGCACTTTTAGCACAGGGCTCTCTCTTGCCTTCCTCTTCCTAATGGTTCAGGGTTTTTGATTCCGTCTCTTGTCAGTCACAATATGGAAATGGACTATTATTTGACTGATAGAAAATGCCAGTGGTACCTGAGGTTTCTTGGGATGAGAACAAACCCATAGATTTGTTGGGGAAGCATTGAGAAGTTCTGTGAAGTTTACGGAATCGAAAAAAAATCTAAGAATCAAGTGTGTTGTGGTCCTGTTGTGTTAASATTTATTTTTGTCGGGCTAGAAACGTTTTCTCCTGGAGCCATGGAGCTCAGGCTTTTTTGYGATGCTGTTCCCTACTGTTCTCCTTTTCCTGCCCCGATGGAGGATGCCATCCAGAATATGTCCCGGGGAGGGCAGCCCGGCTCAAGAGCTGCAGGCTGAGGGCCGGAGGCTGCCAAGGAGATGAGCAGCTCCCTCCCGGGCAGGGTCCCCACGTGAGGGGCAGCAGCAGGCGAGAGGAGGTGGCTCTGCCCGCCCGCTAAGGCTCCCGCTCCGCACGCGGCGGGACCGGCTTCCAGCTGCAGCGGCTCCTCAGCGCTCCCTCCTCCCGCTCCYTCCACCCATGGGCGCCCGCTCAGCCGGCCTGTCCAAAAACCTGCCAGGAGAAGTAGCTGAGAGAGAGAGAGAATCCTTCGGCGTATTTTCATATGCTGCAATGAAAGCAGTAAACTTACATTCAACTTTTTTTTTTTTCCTTTTTCTCCCCAAGGTGGATTCAGCTAAGAAAGTTACATCATATCACTATGAAGAGCTTCTAAAAATATGCTGGGAAATCTTAGACATTTCTCATTGAACTGTTTTTTTTGTTTGCTTCCCGCGTGTAGTTGCAGTATACGCTCAGTGTTGCACTGCTGCTCAGCTAAAAGGCATCATAATTTATTACTGCTAATTCTGTTGTTATTTTTTAACTTCCTGTTTTGACAATTTTTAGAGCGTAATCAAAAATTTGTGACATCTGTGTTTACTTTGTAGTTTAATAATACCTATCTTCATAGCATGGTCTGATAGGCATGTGCCATTCAGCAGTGTTATATTAGTATCATTTATTCCGACTAAATATATTTCCTTATATAAGATGAATGTTGCCATTTGAGTCACACTCAGCTCCTTTGGGAGCTGAGGCACAGGACAGCCTGTCACTGAGAGGGAAGGTGCCAGGAAACCTGCACAGATCCAAAACCTGCATCAGCAGCCACCAGTCCAGGAAGGATCGAATGAGTTTCCTTCCCTTTGGCCCTGGACTCCCTGTGGTCCCCCATCATGTTGATTCAGCCACAGGAGACAATCACTGTTCCTCACCAAATGGCCCAGCTGCTAATATTTAGTTGAAAATGTGAAAAGGAATTCCTCAGACTGGCTCCCTGGATCAGGTCTCACAGAATCACAGAATGGTTAAGGTTGGAAGGGGCCTCTAGAGATCATCTAGTCCAACCTTCCTGCTCGAGCAGGGAGACCTAGAGCATGTGGCACAGGGTGGCATCCAGTCCCCAAGAAGCAATGTAGATCATCTTGGGACTACACTTTTGATGACTAAATTATTTTGGAAGCAAAAAAAAGAAGCTCTAAGACCTTTTTTTTTTTTTTTTTTTTTTTTTTTTTTTTCCAAAACAGGAATACTTGAGCTTTTTGTCCTTTTCATGTTTTGCTGAAGTGTACCTCTTTTCTGAAGTATTGAATTTATAACTCAATAATACTATGCTAATAATAGTCATAACACAGTCATCATCGAAACTAATTAAATACAACTTGATATCTTAATTCAGACCTACTTGTATTCTTTATTTGTTAGGATGAAGTGGCTCATACTCTTACAGAAAGCAGAGTATTGAAAAACACCAGACACCCTTTTTTAACAGTAAGTATTAGGAATAAATTGGAAATACATTGCAACAGGCAGTTTCCAACATGGTTGATATTCCGTTATGACCATATTTTACAGGTAAATGTCAAAGTCCTTCTCATTACAATCTGTAAACAATGAATAAATATCTTACATTTACCATGCATTTTATTCTAATATATATTTAAGAGTGTATTTTGAAATAAAGTTTGCAGTTATTTTGTAAAGCTTAGCTGTACTAAAAACAGCTGTCTAATTATTGGAATATAACTTGTGCAATTTTTTGTAACATTTTTGTATATGAGCTTTATTTTTTAAATAAGGGATTTGGCATAGCTGTCAAGGAAGGTGTTTTTAAATAAAAAATAGTAAGAATCGAGTAGCAACTATTGAGCATAAGAAATTCATGCTGATACAAAACTTATACAAAACTTATGCAGTATTGCTTCAATATCTGTGTCTTTATAGAGATAATATTTTATAGTAGAAAAATTTTAATTAAGATTTTATATCAGTAGTATTTTAAAGACTTTTTTTAAAAGTCATATGTCTCGTGATTTTTAAGTGTAATTCTACTACATCTTATCTCTTGAGGCCAAATCTGCATCAGTAAATTTTCAGTGGAAATTTGGAAAAATTTGGAAATAAAAGGGTATAATTTTTTTCCAAACTATTACATAAACTTATACAGTGGAAAAATTCAATTAAGATAACAGTATATATTATAATTTTTTAAATATACATCAGTAAATATATTCATTTGTTGTTTACTGCTTTCAATATTATGTTGTACTTGGATAATAGAGTCTTTGCTTTGGAAGTGAAAGCAGGCCAGATAATAAGATAACTTCTAGAATTTTACTGGAAAGAGAAAGAAAGTGATGTGGTAATTGCTCACGTGGACATTGTGGATGTCATAAAATATTAAAATAATGAGTAAGGATATCTGGTATACCTGGAAGTAAGATAGAAATGCAATAAAGAGTGGTGTATTTTAGTAGTGATTTCATATTTTGTTATACTAAGCATGCAGTTTTCATATTAATGGATACTGCAGAAATGAGCAAGATGTAATTTTATGTTATTTCTTCTCAAACTTCAGTTAAGAGTTATTGAGAGTGACGAGAACCTCCAGGAAGTCAGAACAGTTTGTCTAACAGGATAAAATTGTTGCCGTTAATTGCAAGAAATCAGGTTAATACATGATGATAATTGATTTGGTTTTGCTGTTTTCTTTGCAAGTCCTTGAAATATTCCTTCCAGACAAAGGATCGTTTGTGTTTTGTGATGGAGTATGTTAATGGAGGAGAGGTAAGTTAAAAAAAACATTCCCCACTTTTTGCAGTCATGTTGTTACTAGATAACACTTTGAAGAATATTCTTTTTGTGTGTTACTTGGCTCTCTAACATCTTTGAAGATGATTTGTTGTTGTTTTACAAATGTTTGTGATTGATTATTTCAAGGAGAAAAATATATAAATATATTTAATAACTGTATTCTCAAAAGCATTTTTAAAAAATGAAAACATTTTGAAAAATAATTTCATGAAAGAGAAATATTTTTGGAGCTAAAGAAGTTTTTCTGATTGTTTTTTCTTCAAGCATCTTGTAGAATACTCTAGTACAAAGTGGTTATAATCTAGTGCAAAGAGACAAAACAGTATTTATTAATCTCAATTTTGTCTCAGTGTGAAATATCTGTTTTGTTATTTTCTATACCCATTGTACAAACCTAGAAGAGAGGGTAGAAGGTTCCTACTTTTCATTACATCTGTCCTCACCACTTGCTCAGCACTCTGGAAACTTAAACTGAAGTTCAAAGCTTTTTATGGTGAYTGACTTTGATTTAAGCATGTGCTGCCTTTAACTGCTTACTGAAAAATAGAATATGAAAAGGTATTCTAGTCAAGTGGAAATAAAAGAAATACTGTCTAAGAAGGACTTTATCTGCTGTTTGCCATCTAGACTGTATCTCATTACAGCATGAACTGGAGGGAATTCCTTATTTTGTGTGCCGTATGCTGCATTGTGACAGGAAAGGACTGAGTATTTGCCCTAGCATTTTAGTAATTCTTCCTTCAGGAATCACTGCATCATGGTCTCATGTTTTTCGTTATCCTTTTTGCTGCCTTTTCCGCCATCAAAGCTCTAGCCAAATGCCGAGAGCCCCAAGAGTGCCTGTCTTGCATTCGCGCCTCTGGCACCTCTCTGGGCCCGCTCTCAGGCCCACTACGTTCTGTCTCATCCCTGGCTACCTAGTGTGGTGCTGTAGGGTTTTCATAGGAGAGGGTGTCCCGTTTAACTCTGTGTAAACCATGTTCTGGACATGAAAGTCAGCGAATCATTCTGACTAGAGAGGAAATCTCCCTCCGTGGCAGTGGAATATCAGCCTTCCATTGAACACTCAGCTTGGTTATCTAGGATTAAGTTTATCTCTCTGATACTAAGCCAGTGCTGCTCACAGTGAGTTTTAAAGACAGTTCTTTGTAGACTAGTACATTCCACATAGTTTACTTTGTATAGGATACTGTTGCATTTCAATAAAATTAGAATTTGCATTTTCAAAGTATGTTTTTAACATGAACCTGTTGTTTGAATGCCTGACGCTGGAAGATATTTTTCTGTGCTACCAGAATGCAGAACAGAGCCCACCAGGAATGTTTTCAACATCKTTCTGGCTACTGAGGATATTCTGCTGCTGGGTTTTGATCAGGCCTGAGTCTTTTATTTCTCTGTGTTGAGTGGTGCTTCTTTGTGGCAACTGCTGCATACGTCTTGCAGCACGGGTTTCTTCTTGGCAGCCTGCTTTTGTCCATTGGCCTTGGAAGGATTTTAGTGCGCTTCATCAAGAGGGGGCTGTGAAGAAATTCAAAGGACTTCGTATTTGTTAAAGCAGACTTGTTAATTCAGAAAACTCTTCAAAATAAGACGCTCTAAATTTAGCTAGCACTTGATCTGTGTGTACGCATACCTCCTGAGACTGCACACAGACTGTTCCCTTTTGCTGTTTCTTTCCACTGCTCACTATGAATTGAAGGACGTTTTGTTTCCTTGCAATACTTTCTTATTGATGAAGGTGTTGAAAACACATTTAATTGTATCCTCATAGTAAGAAATTGATTGTAGCCATATCATTCTGATTCAGGTTCTTCAGAGCTGTACTACCCTCAGTTGTGCTKCTGTTTTAAAATTCCTTTGGGTTGAAGTTTTCTTTTTAGCTAAGCAGTTGTGTCTGAGTCAATTGCTTGGAAACGTTCATGGATTTTGTATCTTCCAGGAGAGCAGGACTCAGTCTTCCCAGTGAAGGAGTTCTTTTTGAAATTTCTATTAGTATTYGTGACTCTGACCCAGATGAAAGCCAAGGAACTCCACAGTTTAGCCTTCCACCCCGCTGYGGTAATAAGAGCTCTAATCGGTACTAGGAGTCCTTAGATCCTGTTCTTGTGGATAGGCAGAAAATATACATAAAAAAAAAAAAAATAAAATAAAGAGAAGGTCATTGAATTACATTCTGACGAAGAAACTGTTAAAATGGTACTGAGCAAAAATCCTCTGTAACAGTAAAATAGCTTGATCCCTATTTAATTTCGTATCCCACCAGAATTGTAGCACTTTACTCTTTTCTTAACTTCATATTACTCAGTTATTTAATGAGCATGTAATAATGAAATGTAACTGCCTGTTTTACTGATCTGTGTTTATGCTTTTGTACTGTATACAGATTATTTAGTTACCTACTTTTATTTCAACTTCCTTTAAAAAAAAACATTTTCCATAGCTAAATATATAAAAGCAAAGTATTAGAAGGTTTTTTTGCATCTTTTTTTTCCCTCCAAACGAATTACTCAGGCACAGAAATATGGAGTGTATTTTCCTATACTGACAACTTTAACAGTTACTTTTCTGCCTAAGGACCCCATCCTGAAATGTTTGCTGTGGGCTGAAAGCTTCCTTTTTCTTTATTTTAGTGTAACCGTTAGATATTGCTAAACAGCTTATCCAGAGTCCATGGTTTTATAATGTTTAAAAAATAGAATAAAACAGATASTATAAACGGTGCTCAAGAGCTAAAAGGTTACTTCTAGCACTCTGTTTGCTTCTCCATAGCTTTGTAATCCTGAAAAAAGCTAAATTAAAGGAATGTCAAAACACTGAGCTTTTATTTTCATTAAAAGAAAAAGATCATCTGGCTTAGTTAAATGATCTATTTCTATTTTCAAGATTTTGAAATGGCATGTTTTATAAGCGTGTGGTAAACAAGTATCTGCAATTGTACATGATAAACTGTGTGTTCTTTCATTTGCTTCAAAACATAGAATGTTCATATAAATGTTTTCAAATTACAAAACTATCAGTACTTACAGATAAGTAAAAGCCACTAAAAAAAAAACTTTCTTTTCCTTCATTTTTTACTGTCCCTGTCCTATTAATAATTTGAGAAAAAGTATAAGATTGTATTGATGCTTTTCCTTCAAGTATTGATTTGTCTATTTTTCCTTTTATAGCCTATATAGTCTTCATTTTTATTCAAATACAGCAAGCTAATAATGTAKTATAGTGTTCCACAAAATCCTAGGCTGTGCAGAATGGTATAAATTATTGTATTAAAATGGTGTTCTAAGAGTGGCTCTTTGTTAGGGTATTACTTCAGGAGAATGTTTCCCATTTTTAATTTCCAGTATTTTGCAATAAAGGTTTAAAAGCTTCAAGAGAAAAATTTATTATATACATTACTCTGTAGAATACATTGGTTAAGTTGATTAATAAGTTGATTAATCTCTGTGCTTTGCACTTTCAGGATAATTCCAAATTCTTTACTCCATATCAAGACTAATTGGTAATTATCTGCATAATAAAATTAGACTCTAAATTTTATTCAGATGGTTTCTCCACATCAGAACTCTGAATTTCCTTCTACTTGGCTTTGTTTTTCCATAGCTCTTATTTCAGTTCATTAGACAAGAAAGAACCAAATGGTTTGCTGTAATTGAACAAGTGCTAACATTGTCTAGGAAAAAAAAAAAAAAAAGGAGGATTTAAAATATATCTAATGGAAAAAAACACTGAATTGTCGTAAACTTCAGCATTTTATTTAGAATGTGCCCTGTTTTCATTTTGTGAACTCTACATAAAAGAGAGTATATTCCTAATCGTAAAATTCTTAACAGCTCAAAATAAAGTCTCTTTACTGGTTAAAATTTTTCTACAAGTGGTATGCAGTCTGAAGTGCTAAYCAAATAATTGGGAAGTTCCAGATTGCTCCTGCCAGTGACCGTGCACTTGCTTTTGCAAGCTTGTGTTTGCAAAAGAATCCAACCGGGAGTCAAATAGAAAGCGAGTTTAACGGCCGAGCGGGAGCAGACCCATTAGGTGGTAGCAGGAGTATCGGCTCCCGAACAGTCTTGCTCACATCTGCAGAAGCCCAGCGTACTGATGCCTCTAAGGTTGGATCCTTTACATATTTGGCAGTGTCTATGCCTGACTCTGCAGTTGAACATACTCTTATATTTATCTCTGTTTTTATTTGGTAATATTTTTGCATTAAAACTTTCTATTAGAAAAATATCATGGCAACATTGTTGTATAGTTTTTCAATGAAGATGTACCAGCAAATTTATAGCTACAGTCCTCTCCATAATTATAGCACTGTCGTATGCCTCCTGATATGTATTTGGAGTTTACATTTACATGGAGATACATTTACAATGAATGTAAACCATTAAAAAGTTTCACACACAGTGTGCCAAATTTATTTCCATTGCAATTTGAGGGARTATTTCCCCTATTTAATAGCAGCAAATCATGGAGAAGTGCAAATATATGAAGCTTTTCTGCTAACTTGYGATCAGATTTCTTCTTTTGGTTCTCTAGTTAAATAAATTTTCTTGTTGCTGCAGTTGTAAAAGCAGCCCACTGGCATAATCATTCCAAAACAGCAAACCAACAAAATAATTAGCTGGTGAAGATTTCTCTGTGGAATTAGAAGGAAATCCAAAATACCTAATAGATGATAATTTATATCTAATTTTTCACTCAAAACTAGCAGATGTGGTTTGATAATAATTCTGCTAAGTTTGTAGCTGTTGTGTGACCGCTCCCCTCCGCAGGCCAGGAAGGACTCGGGTTAGTGTTAGTCACAAATCTTCCTTGCGAAGGGGGGTGCCGACACTTTTGCCAGGGCTCTGATTCCCAACTAGACATGTCTGCCTGGGGGCATCCCTGGTGGKCCATACCCTGGAGAATAGCTCACCTCCTCGTTCTGGAGAGCTCACGTTGACCTGTGCTCTCTTAACCTTGAGTTGCTCGTTCTGAGGCATGAGCTTGTCAAAAAGGTCCTTATTGTTTTCGCTTCTGGTCATTTGTGAGAGAAATGCCCAAGGGTCAATTCAGCTCYGTTTGTCTGTGCAAGTTACTGGTGAAGAGGATTTGGACCAGTCAGTTTAGTCAGGATTAGTCTCCTCTGCATATAGGAAACTGTAATAGTCATTTTGCACAGATACGAACATAGGCCTAGCTACACTTACAACTTCATGGGAATACATTTGTTCAGAGATGAAAAATTTCTGAAAAAGAGTGGCATTAACTCTTTGGTTTTGGGTTTTTTTTTTTTTTTGTGAAAGAGACAACAAAGCAGATACAAGTGATTCAAATTACAAAGCACATACAAATTACACAAAAGCAATTTGCTTTTTTGCGTGAAATTTTGCTTATTTAGCAGCATTTATCATCTGTTTAAATAAATATCCTACAGGAGAGGTTTGGGGAAGAAAAAAGAAAAATATTTAGCCTTCTCCTGATTTTGTGGTCCATGAGACAAAAAGCAGACTCTTCCATGCTTAGATGGTGAAACCCAATGTATGTTAAACTGCAGTTGCATTGTTCACTGTGGTGTCTCTGCCTATACAAATATAGACAGAAGACTTGGGTTACTTAGGCTCAAAAGAAAGCAATAAACTTTTCTCCTTAAATTTTTTTCCTTGAAGTGTGACTGTCAGGGAAGAAGTTGACTTTAAATGTTTGTCAGACTGTGTAATTATATTTTRAGAAATTCACACACTTAAAATAATGCAGTAATTCTTAAGCTGTCCTGTGCCACGTTAGCAGTGTAAATTTCCAACCAATGCAATGTGATAATGACAAATTAAATCATAGAATCATAGAATGCCGAAGATTGGAAGGGACCTCAGAGGTCATCGAGTCCAACCCCCCTGCTCAGGCAGGATCACCTAGAGCAGGTGGCACAGGGCTGCATCCAAGCGGGTTTTAAAGATCTCCAAAGAAGGAGACTCCACAACCTCTCTGGGCAGCCTGTTCCAGTGCTTTATCACCCTCACAGTGAAGAAATGCTTCCTTGAGTTCCTGTGGAACTTCCGATGCTTCAGTTTGAAGCCATTTCCTCTAGTCCTATCCCTGCCCACCACTGAAAAGAGGCCGCCCCCCTCCTCCTCACTGCCTCCCTTGAGGTATTTATACACGCTGATCAGGTCCCTCAGCCTCCTCTTCTCCAGGCTGAACAGACCCAGCTCTCTCAGCCTTTGCTCATAGGGCAGATGTTCCAGGCCCCTGATCATCCTGGTAGCCCTGCGCTGGACTCTCTCCAGCAGCTCCACATCCCTCTTGTACTGGGGAGCCCAGAACTGGACRCAGTACTCCAGATGTGGCCTCACCAGGGCTGWGTAKAGGGGGAYGATCACYTCCCTYGACCTGCTGGAGACGCTYTTCTTAATGCACCCCAGGATCCCGTTGGCCTTCTTGGCCACCAGGGCACACTGCTGYCTCATGGTCARCTTGTCGTCCACCATGACACCCAGGTCCCTCTCTGTGGGGCTGCTSTSCAGCAGGTCCAYSCCTAATCTGTACTGGTGTCCAGGGTTATTCCTCCCCAAGTGCAGGACCCTGCACTTGCCCYTGTTGAACCTCATGAGGTTTCTCGMCRCCCAGTCCTCCAGTCTGTCCAGGTCCCCCTGGATGCTTCTTTCTTTTGTGTGTAGCCTGTAATTTTGGATTKCTGAACTACTTGATACTTTTAGGAGTGAAAATGAAAAATATATATTGTTGTTATGGCTTTCCTTGTCTGTAATTTATGAATGAACTTATTTTCTGATCATTACTTCTTGAGCTAGGATGCTTGTTTTAAGCATGAAGCTGTAAGGAAGAAGGTCCATTTGGTTTTATATAGAATACAGAAATATATTTAATAATCTTTGTTTAAAGACTTCCTAAGCTTTCTTAACACAAAACAGAAACTGCATTAAATAGCCAAATTCTAGTTTCTTGGTTGTTCCAGGTCCTGAAAATGATGCTTTATTTGATAAGAACGTGGTAACATTACAGAACTTGAGCTTCAGCTTACATGTTTCCATTGCAACTGAAATTATTTGCAAGAATTAATGATTAATACTTTTCAGTTTAAGAAGTGTCTTCTAAAGTACCGTGGTAATTATGAAGTTTTAAGGAGACAAAAAGAAAAGAAATGTAACAGTGTACCAAAGTAACACAAGAATAACTTAGGCTACAAACATAAGAAGAAGAGTTGTTSGTTTGCTTTTTCTAATGACTGTGATGGGTTTGGATTATGATTTATGRTTTTTTTTTTGTAAAAGGCTAGTTCACCTCTTCCACTGAAGTCAACGTATGAACCAGATATTTTTTTCATTTCAAAGATAAGTTACTAATTACTTACACACTTGAGGCTGTCTCAATATGCTCATGATATTTCTCAATGGCTTAAAATAAAAATGTGAGGAAGGTAGAGGGAGAAGACAGAATGATGCGGCTGCATACACTTTTTTTTTCCTCTGGTAACTGAAGGTTAAATGAGTAGCAAGCAGAATGCCTTAAACAAGATTGGTATATTGATTAAAACGCTGATTTAACAGCTCGCTTTCTCCCTTTGGAAACCTGGAAAAGATAAGCCAGCTGCTGTCTAAGAGTGCTGAGTGTCCACTGAGAGTATACTATCTATCATCACAATATGGTGATGAGAGGTGTTTTATGTTTGTGTTAATTTCCCCCACTAAATCAGTAATTATTACAATCCTGTCCCTGCTGTTTACCCTGCAGCTGTTTTTCCATTTGTCGAGAGAGCGGGTGTTCTCAGAGGACCGCACACGCTTCTATGGTGCAGAAATTGTCTCTGCTTTGGACTATCTGCATTCTGGGAAGATTGTGTACCGTGATCTCAAGGTAAAAAAAAAAAAAAAAAAAAAAAAGAGAGAAAAAAAAAGGAAAGAAAAGAGAAAAAAGAAAAAGTAATCAAATTTTTGTTTTCATAGATACTATTGGGACACACACGAAGTAATTATAAAGTTACACTGTTCAGAGCTAATGGGGAAAAACCTCTGTGTTCAGTGTAAAGTTTTAGATGATACTGGAGGAGCCACTTTAATACAATAATCTATAGGTGGATATGTTCCTTGACTTTAACTTGATTAAAGAGAGAAATGCTGTACTCTTTTCTTCCTAATGATACCAGCTGAGATGCATAGATTTCTAATCCTTTTCTTCATTAGTTATAACTTAAACCAGATTTTCACAAGAATCTCAAGTTTATTTCTTCATGTCMACAATTTAAGGGAAATTGTGGACATAATTTCCACCCAGAAAGGGGGAAAATATGACTGTAAAATATGACTGTATTCTGTTTATGTCATAAAAGTATTGTGTGCTTGTATGATTTAAGAACATTTAAAAAAGTTCAAAACAGTACAAATAGAATTTCAAATTAATTTTCAAATTGTTTCCTCTTATGCAAAAGGAAAAATACATAATACTGGAATGTAGTTCATCATAGAATGAGAAGAAAAGAAGAATGAAGATTTTTGTCTGATTACCTTTTTTTTTTTTTTTGCTTTGCTTTTTGCATAAAATGTGCTACTTCCTCTGTCACTTGAAGTTCCTTAGAACCATTCCATAGAAATCCATAGAAAATGCCCATTTTCAATTTAATTTATGTAGAAAGAACCTCTCAGTTCCATGGGGCAGCAAGGAAGTAGAATTCTTTTTTCATTCCTACAAAAAGCGTTTAATTCTTTGTTTGACAGATTATGTTTTTCAGTTATACATATGCACTACTCCATTTATGTACTTCTATTAGAGAAACTGAAGAGAAAAGAGCATTTTCAGGCAAGTTTTGCWCAGGGAAACAGACAAAACCTCGAACATTGGTTTAACCAACTACAGCAGAATCTGTTGTAATAGCATAGAATACTGTGACATTTAGGGAAAATACAGAATTGTTTGATCAAGGAATTAAGTTTAAATTCTAAGTAATAAGGAAAGARGTATTTTACTTTATAAATTATACATTACATATCACCTACCTGTGTCTTGTTTTATGAAGCTATTTCACTCAAAGGGAAAACACCTTTGAACTGCCTCCTGCTTCATGCACACTTAGGAAGACCAGACTATCACTGGGTTTGGTTGGCATTTTCAGTATATAACTTAGAATAAACAGAAGCATAACAATGTTTCTTTATTGAGAAAGGTTGTACAGAAGTATATTTTACTACATTTTAATCTACATTAAAAGTGCTGCTAATAGCTTATTCAAAAAGCTTAAGGGAAAGTAATGTTAGCCATGTTTTGGTATAATCCTCAATTATAACTGCATTTGTTATTATTTCCTAATGGCTTGTATTCTACTTTCACATTTCAAAGAAAGGAAAATATATTTAAAAAGTAAAGCAAAACATCCAGAAGTATACTTACTASTAGTACTGTTCAAGAGAAATATGAATTACAGTTTTTGCAAGTAAAAAAGGAGGAATTTACCTAGCCATTTTTCATCAGTGGTAGCCAAAAGACTATGGAAAAGGCGAATATTTTAAGGATTTGTTTCCAAAGAACGTAAATGATAGTACAGTAAGTAAACTGCATCTTCATAAATGAAGATCATGTATCAACAGAGGAAACCTATGAAGTCTTACTGAAGAGAATCCTGACCAYAGTCTAGAGTTGTATAATTGTGTCTTTAGAAAGTCATTTTTGCTTACTTTCTGTGGAAGAGGCACAAAACATATTAAACTTCAAACTGAAAGGCCATGCTTTCATTGAGCTATGATTCACTACTATAAATTGTAAAATAATATTAAAAATATTTAAATGGTATAACAGTAAATGCTGTTAAATGCTGTTGTAAATTTTAGGCTAATTATGTTGCATTGTGAGCAATAACTTCCTAACTTAAATAATATAATGCATCAGCCTTCCTCTTTAAGAAATACTAAGGGAACATTTTTTTCCCCAATGCACAGTTAGAAAATCTAATGTTGGATAAAGATGGACACATAAAAATTACAGATTTTGGACTTTGCAAAGAAGGGATCACAGATGCAGCAACTATGAAAACGTTCTGTGGTACTCCAGAATACCTGGCACCTGAGGTATGATTTAGAATATATTCTTGAAATACAGCATAAAATGTTTATTTTTAATGTAATTGTGGACTATATTTGTATGATGGAAACTGTTCCTCATAATTCATCAAAGAACTGACTGATTTTGTTACTAATACTATACAATTTTTATTCAGAATTGTATGTGCTACTAGTCTTTCTTTTTAGTGATAGTCTGTACCTGTATTGATGCTGTGCTGCTTAGCCTTTATAATGGCCTTTACCATGCATTTTCCTTAACATGCTTGTTGCCTTTCATTGAAGCTTTTATGTTTCAGTTATTTCCTCAGAATAATTTCAGAAATTTCTTCAGAATGTCTTCTTCCACCTCCCTTGTCACTTGGAGCATATGAGTCTAACTGAGCTAGTGTTATAGCTAGTGTTAGGCAGCCTCAGAGGAGAGAAGGGTGAACAGGAAGGTACTGAGCTTGGTTGTGTTTATCCAAAAAGAAGTTGAAATTTTAGATATTTCCACTAAAAATGGTGAATGTATCAGCCTCGGAACTGATTGAGGCATGCATCTGAAGCATCAGCACTAGCRGTTTCCCAAAATGTTCAGGTCACATCCCAGAACAGGCTGCCTTATGTTTTTCAATAGCCAACTCTCTGAGTGCTAAACGTCATTCTTTTCAAGGGTTGCCAAAAAGATGGACACAAGGACCTTGTTTTGATTCCCTTCACAGCTTTCGTCTGGCCACTCTGAGATGTTCTGAGGAGACTCAAGTTACCCCAGTGCTCCAGTATAAGTGCTGTCGGCTCTCACTGATGCCTCCTGAAAAAGAAAGGTGTCAACGTTTGGTCTTTGTCCTGTCTGACTTCAGTCAACTGTACTGACTGGTGCCAGCAGATGTTGCTATGTCTCTTGGGTTGCCAAATGCAGCTCCACTATTGACCTGAGAGACAGCATTATTTCTTTACTTAATGCCAAGGGTTCTGTATATTCTGTATAAACCATTATTTCCATTGTTGTCTTGATTCAAGGAACACTGCTATGTATCTGATGTACGCATGTGATGCTGATAGACTTTCTAGGCTTTTCTAGGGATTGACAGTCCTTCAATCCCACCTTTTTCTAAGAAATATTTTAGCAGTACCTCAGTACCACCTGAAAGTCTCCATTTCATATCTCTTTGAAGAAAAAACGTACTTTGTATTTAAGGAGGGAGACAGAGAGGCACTTATTCAGTCTGGCTCTTTGCCCTGTAATTCTGCAAACCTTATATCCTGAGTAGCAGCATCAAGTCTAAACAAGCTGTTTTAGATTGCCTTTGATACCTGATTCAGAATCTTGCAATTAGGGGTGTCAAGGAAACTGGCTGGTACACAGCACCTTCTGGATACAGTTGGCTGGTGCTCAAGACATTCGGATGATCAGGTTTGAGAATTCCATTTCTAAATTTCTTAGAGCAAATTTGAAGTCTCCTTAATATTGCAGTCTAGGAGGAAAATGAAATTGTTCATAGTTGATGAGTTTAATATGGCGCTTCCAGTTTAACTTTTTTAGATCCTAACAAGATMTTTTGATACATTCTTTTTCTCCACTATAATGAAAGAATAAGTATTCTTAGACACTACATTTCTCTTCATCCATCTGGTTCCATATTCCTTAATTCTTTCAGCAGTGAAGAAACCTCTGAGCACTTACAGTCTGAGGTGACAAGTTTGAAGTACCAAAATAATTTTGTTTGGTAAAGTGTGTTTGTTCTTTACAGCTGTTTGGTAAGTCATCAGTTGCTTTAGTTTTAAAGGTAAAATTGGTCTCATTTGCAAAACTCCATCCTATAGATTCCAGGAAAGACTTGGAGATGGCATTTTGCTATACTGTAAATTTTTGACATGCCTTCTTCCTATTTAGTGCCCAGACACCTGCTATCTATCTTCTATAAAGATTCCAGAGCCATTCTTCATGTGCTTTGAGCCTTTCTCACAGCTGCTTAGAAGTTGTTCAAACTGTTTTGCTTGGTACAGTAGCCACTTGTGGGCTGTAGCCCCAGCAACTTGTTCCAGTAACTAGAACAGCACAAAGGGTGATCCTGTTATCATTGGCATGAGCACAGKGGTCACTGCCAGTTCTCACCCCCTCATTGCCTTCCTTTCAGCAGTCCTGAAAACACTCTCAAAGAGCACAAATATCCTCTTCAGTTTCATCCGTCTCCTTCTCCATATCTCTCTTTTGGAAACATATTTGCTGTTGTTCAGAAAATTGGGCAATTGAATTTTCTGGGTTTTAGACACTTTCCACAAATTAAATGATCCACTTTGCCTTTTTTTTTTTTTTTTTTTTTTTTTTTGTTCTTTGGCAGCCTCATACTCTCCTCTATCTACCTTTTATGGGTTTTTTTAGAGCTCCATCCTGTACATCTGTCTTGTAGCTGTCTAGCATCTTGTATGAGCTATAGAACTCATACCTTACAGTCACCATTTGAAGACCAGGTCCTCCATWCTTCTCAGATGTATGCATGTGAGGATAAAAATATTTAAATCATTTATCATTGTAGTTGAGGCTGTAGAAATGGGTTATTCAAGCCAAAGTCTTACTACTTTTGCAGATTGCAGATCTTGAGAACTAGTTTGTGCCTGGACTTTTGTCCTGTTGCCATAATGAATTCCTGCTTGTTTACCCCAAGAGAAATGGTAGCATGTATTTTTCTTTTGCCTAGCCATGATAAGTGTACTGTATATACAGGTAGCCTTCAGCCTCTTTTCAGAGCCAAATACTCTCCAGTTTGGTAGGGAGATCCACTCAACAGTTGCCCTTTAATGATACTTTTGCATCTTCCTCTTTCATTTAGGTCAGTTATGATGACTGCTTCTCTTCTGCAGGCCACTTGCTGCAATATCCCATGTACAAGTTGGTTGTTGTCACACAGTTCACTATGATAGTGTATTGTGTGACCCTCAGGGTTGTCCAGTCTGTCAGTCAGGAAGCACCTGAYCCAGGAGCTGTTCTACTGTCGAAGATGGACACTTAGTTTGAGAGATTAATTTGTGTKTTATTTTAGGTGAAACTGCTGTATTTTTGCACTCCTTGGTTTCTTAAGGAAATTGGGAAGGAGTTATGGATTCAGTTCCAAATCAGAATTTCAATTTGGATCTCTGAATGCATGTTGGACCACTGCTTTAGGCATACTGTCCTACTTGCTATTGCATCTTGTGAAAGCCAGCTTACTGTTGCTTCCAGCAGGAAAATGGGAATTAGCTAAGCCTGTATGAGGCTTCCTCCTGGCCTGGCAGTCTTTAAGATGAAGGTGTTCCTGTGGATACATACAGAGTTCTTTCTCAAAGTGTTACTGGAGCAACTCTTRATCTGAAAATAAGCTTTGAAAATAAGACTACCTCTCGCTGTGTTTTCCCCACAAACTTTATTTTTCCGAGACTGAAGTGTCCTTCCCACTCTGTGACTTTTTACGTGGAGGCCTGACCTTTCATACGGGACCTGAGACTGACTGTGCTAATATCTGACAGATCCAGAAGAATGTCCTTGCCCATTTAAAGATCAAGTGGACTGCATAAAAACAGTGGACTGCATGAAAAGCCTTTTACAAGTTTGCCAGGTTGGAGCCAGCTTTAGTCGCTGGAGCTCAAGTTGCTTCTCTGCAGTCACTGATTTATTTTTCCTGATGCTGCTGATACTGAAGTGTCCAGGGTTTTATACTAGGTGGTACACATGCAMATTCCTTTCCCACTGTCCTCGCCAAGTATCATACAGTTCAAAGAAAGCTAACATGGTTTTAGGTGTTCTGTCTTACATGGCTGTATTCCAAGCATAAGATGTAGTAGTGAATAAATGCATTCTCTGAACAAGATACTTGCCTTTGTCAAATAGTAAGGCTTATATACGTTTACAGTATGAATGTACATTTTCGCCAAAATTATTGAATAATTCCAACTGTAAGTAGTATTTTTTATTTGTGAAATTCTGTAGACTTTTCAGAATGATTTGATTATCTGATAAATAATAGAATACCCTATCATCTACAGTACAAATGATGAAAACTTCATTTTTTTATGTATGGAGAGTGGTAACATTTCTTACTGTTGTAAGATTTAGCAGTATGCCCCATTTGAACGATGTAGAATGGTTTATAATTTTTCATTCCTTAGTAATTTTTCAGGAAGCAAAGACCTTGATTTCTGTACTATCATAATAGAGATCATTGTAATTCCAAAGATAAAGRAAGATTGGATGTGAAAATGATGAATTACCTTTTCATTTGGAAAAGAGATATATTCTTCTCATTTATTTACAGAAGAAAACAGAAATCATAGTGTTTCTTTTTCGGGTTTTGCAATGGCTAAGGCAGGATCTCCTGACTTTTCCACAGAGTATCACTTGCTTGATAAAGAAAAGAAAGAATAAAACTGAGAAAATTATTTGTGTAATACACAAGTGAAGTAGTATGTAGCCTGTGGCACTTCAAAGCAATTTGGATTTTAATAGTCTTCAATTGATCATTAAGTATCAAAGAATGTTCATTAAGTGAAGCCTCTTGTGCAGAGAAATCGAAGTTTTTGTAGCTTGATGGAATACCAGATACTCTTCATCTTTTTAATAACAGGGCAAAAATGTTTTRTCTATGAACTAGGCTGTCAAGGAATTTACTGGATAATCATTCAAATTACTCTTCATAGATGCAGGTGATCAAAGATTTTTAGGTATATTTTAGAAGTGGGGAAAGTGGAAGGAGCTGACTACTTTTTATCAGCCTAAATGCACACAGTAAATAGATGTACAATGTCGTGAAAGAAATACTGTAGTCTTCTGGAAAAGAAAAGAGAAAACGGACACCATTTGTGTATAGTTTGTCTAACTTATTATCGTTTAAGACTCTGTGGCAATAAATGAGACCAGAGTAGGGTCATTCCCTTTGTACTTAGACATATGATCAGCAYGGTTTAAAATTTGCTTCAAATGAGACTGTGCTTGTTTGGCAAGTGTTTTCTCTGTTACTCTTTTAGRAATGGGAGGAGGATCATATGTAAACAAT